CAAAACTGAGATTAAACATGTGTACCAGGGGGTCCAGGGGGCGTGCCCCTGGCAAGCTGTGACCAGCACCGGAGGCACAGCCAAGCATTAGCGAGTGCCGCGCCGTAGGTGCGGGTCTAAAGCTTGTCTATATAGAATGGCACAATGTTTTTAGCCTTTTGATGGCTGAGTAAGGCTGACTCAGCTGAGTCAGCGATGACAAATCTTATATAATCACTCTGAACCTCACATCTTTATATTGAGCTTGACCTCACACAAGGGGCAAACAGCATTCGTCGCCTGGTAAAAATGTGATAAAATGCAGATAACTATGTTAAATCTTTGATTTCACATTTATAACAAAAAATTGGAGTTAAAAAAGATTAATCATTACTGCAAGTTTTTTGCTGCAGGAAGGTGATATTGAAGATGTAAAATATTTATCAGTCTTTTGCAAGCTGTATAAAATGAATTTCCTACAAAAAATGTCCTCCTGGTAAAGAGATAAAAAAAAATCATGAGCAATAATGGTGATAGGGAGAAGTAAAATACCCATTACCTTTTTTTTGAGTGACAGATGTTCAATAAAATAGTTCACCTATTCAACTCAAAATTTCTGTCAGGGGAATGAGTAACAAAAACAAAAAGTAATTGCTTTGCAAAAACATAAAGTATGGCATCTGTCTATTTGTGGAATAAACATTTAATAAGCATTGCCAAGGGTTTAGATTAAAATTTTATTGCTCGTGATCTTTGAAGGAATGACCGGTAAATATTATACATTGTCGCCGCGGCAAGAAGATAAAGATCGATCACATTTTGCCATGGCAACAATGATGAGGCGACGAGTTATTGTCGTCGAAAGATCGTTCTGACACGAGGAAACAGGAACAAAAACTTAAAATGGTTGCCAAGCAATTAGATGAGCTGGTTTGCGTTGAGTTGAACCTAACCTGAGTTGATCGCTGCGTTTGCGTTGCGCTGGTCGGGGCTGGCCACACATATCACGTGACGAGGTAACAATTGGCACACATTCGTCTTTATGTTAAACAAGCTGGGACAAGAGCTGTGTAGACACTGGGCAAGTCATCTACAACTTCATACATATTGTTGCCGCTCACGTACCTTTATGCAGAACTCACAACGAAAAGAAACGACTTCTACGCAACGAAACAGGGAGGGACGACATATGCTCGTGATTAGCGTGGCTAAAACGACGCTACTCCATATTTAGGACAGCATACAGGACGGTGAGGGAGTACGAGAAGGTGGGCATTGGGATTGGAAAGGGCGTGACCAAGCGGTTGGGCAGCAGGGCTGGAAGTTCTGCTTTCCCATTCGGTCAGTGGTCTCCAGCACCATTCCGGCATTGAAACTCACCGGCCTTTCGTAGAAACGCGCCAAATGCAATGAATCCGTTGGGCTTTGGAGTCAAACTTGGTAAGTCAACGCAGTATTCGCTTGTGAAGGATTCGACGTACGTTTGCTGCCAGAACCTCCCCAACTTTTGGGTTCACGGTCTCCCTGGTCAACACTACGGCTTCACCTGCGGCTTCAAGCGTCGCGGATGCCGCGGGTGTATCTTTCAGCGGATCTTCTTCTCACCTGCAATCAACATCATCATGCGCGGGTGTCATCCGGCGAAATTCCCCCACCAGAACGCAATCGGCCTGAAACAGCGTTGCAACCTGCTTCGGCTGCAAATGTTCTCAAAGCCGATACTTTCCTCAACACCTCTGTTCTGTTGCAAAATTTTCGATCATGCAGTCAACTATAGCGTGAAATCGCTCAAAGAGTTTTCTCACAAACTATAACTTCAATGACTGCTTACCAGCGTATTCTCTACCATTCGTGCCTCGATCGATCTCAATCACTGGGATGTGTTTAAATCGTGAATTGGAATTGTAATTTGTAATTATCCATTAACTAATTACGTGCGTGACTCCAGGTTGCGACCCAGCGAGGCTAATTTAAACGACGAATGTTCATTGTGTGCCAATTGTTCCCTCATCACGTGAAATGCGCGGCCAGCTCCGACCAGCGCAACACCATCGCAGCGATCAACTCAGGTTAGGTTCAACCCAACGCGAACCAGCTCATCTAATTGCTTGGCAACCATTTTAAGTTTCTGTTCCTGTTTCCTCGTGTCAGAACGATCTGTCGACGACAATTACTTGTCGCCTCATCATTCTTGCTGCGGCAAAATGTGATCGATCTTTATCATCTTACTGCGGCGACAATGTATAATATTTACCGGTCATTCCTGCAAAGATCACGAGCAATAATTTTTTTATCTAAACCCTTGGCGATGCTTATTAAATGTTTATTCCACAAATAGACAGATGCCATACTTTATGTTTTTGCAAAGCAATTACTTTTGGTTTTTGTTACTCATTTCCCTGACAGAAAATTTGAGTTGAGTTGGTGAACTATTTTATTGAACTTCTGTCACTCAAAAAAAAGGTAATGGGTATTTTACTTCTCCCTATCACCATTATTGCTCATGATTTTTTTTTATCTCTTTACCAGGAGGACATTTTTTGTAGGATATTCATTTTATACAGCTTGCAAAAGACTGATAAATATTTTACATCTTCAATATCACCTTCCTGCAGCAAAAAACTTGCAGTAATGATTAATCTTTTTTAACTCCAATTTTTTGTTATAAATGTGAAATCAAAGATTTAACATAGTAATCTGCATTTTATCACATTTTTACCAGGCGACGAATGCCATTTGCCCCTTGTGTCAGCTACCCTCCTCAACTCCAGGTAAATATTTCTCTGTATTTTATACATATTTTAAAATGCTCTCTTGCTTGAGAGGCCAGTTTGTAGGCACATACATAGAGGTGTAAATTCTATTTCTGTACAAACTTTCTTACATTGCCTGCTCTTTGTGGTTGAATCTATCAGCTCTGCTCTACAGTCAGAAAATATTTATCATTGGGTGGGTCACCTATCACAATTTTATAGTTGGTTGATCTAATCACTTAGTTCTGTAATCTATCCATCATCATGTTTGGGTTTCTGTTTTCTTCCCCTCTTGCATGTGCAATATTTAATTTCAATTCACTCCAGGGAGAGATTGGGAATGTTACTCTAAACATCCCTGCCTATAATCTTTGGAGGCTTATTATCACATCTGAGAGTATGTTGGATGGGTTTGTTGTTTTATGTCAGAATTTTATCCCTTCACCCCAGCTCTTCATTGGGGAAGTGTTGGATATGTGCACCTCTCAAAGCTATATATTGAAGTATTCTATCTAATTCAATATGTGATTGGAAATTCAAAGATTAGTATTTTTTTTAACTCAGTAAGTTGCTCATAGTTTTATTATTGAAGATTCTCATCATTGGGGAAGTGTTGGATATGTGCACCTCTCAAAGCTATATATTGAAGTATTCTATCTAATTCAATATGTGATTGGAAATTCAAAGATTAGTATTTTTTTTAACTCAGTAAGTTGCTCATAGTTTTATTATTGAAGATTCTCAACAGGCCTGGAGTTATATAGATTTAATAAAATGTATAAATCAGAGAGTTAAAAATCTTCCAGATAAAATGGGGACTTAGAGAGCTGATTTGGGAGAGGACATAGGAAGTTCCACAAATATAAGTAAAGATTTAGTCAATTTATTCCATGGAGATGAGAAACCCAGGAAGAAATAATCTAATTTCTCAAAATTACTAGAAGTCTATAGTTTCTGGCCCAATAGGATTTTGGGAAAGCTGAGGAGGTAAGGGAAGGTCATGTTAGAAATATATTTATTGTATGTGTTGGTGTCTTATAGCATGACAAGAGAGGGTTCGCAGTACAAAAATATGAGAAACATTGGGGCATGGTAGAGCAGTAAGAGATGTTAAATCAGAAGTAGTACCATTTATAAAGATATGTAATAAATATTCAACACTCTGTTTAATGGGTAGTCAGAACCAATTTGAATTTGCAGGATGGTATGTCAAAAAACTGGAGTTAGAGTGCCTGCCCCCAGCATGCTATGACCCATGTTGTAGGAGCAGCCAAGTTATTGGCTATGTGGAAGCAGGGTTTGGGGCCCAACACACTGCACTGTGGACTTGGCACATACAGATATCAGAAAAATTGCCACTGTGATGCAAATTTTATCATATATGTAGATGTACCAGTAATTTACACCAACATATAAAGATTAGAATAAAAAATGTACATGGGGATTGGGATGAAACATGTGTACTGCAACTGGGATTGAAGATGTGTACCAGGGGGTCCAGGGGGCTTGCCCCTGGCAAGCTGGAAAACATCCATGTTTCCCCCTTTAAAAACCCTCTTGCATTTCAAGGACCCATCTTCACCCCCCTCATCTGCGACATGAATAACTTCACCCCCATGACAATCTGGAGTCTGTTGGGTATCCCTCCACCCAACCCCTACCCCGTAGGTTCTGTACATCTCCATTGGTCGTAACCAGCTGATGATTCATCAGAAAGGAACCCGAGTCTGGTATAATATGTGTAGCGGTGGCCTCATGTTTGCAACCGTAGACTCCACCTAGTGTTGCCGAAGTTCAGTCCCGAACTGACAGTTCGGACCGAACTGGCAGAACTGAACTGACGGTTCGGTTACAGTTCTGGTTCCTGTTCGGGCTGGGGGTGTCGGTTCCAGTTCACGGTTCAGCCCTTTGGAAAATTTTGAGAACTGGGTTCGGACCCGTTCGAACTGAACTGAACATGTATATGTCTTGTATATTTTATCGACGAATTTTTGGGCTGTTTCGGAGATTCAATGTGTGCCGGCTAACGCCATATCATCAAACCTTCATCATGATGTCAACGCAACATTCTTGCTAGTCTAGGTTCACGTGTGGGGTCCGAACCGTGGTACAGATATTCGGTATCAGTTGACACACGTGCCGACCACTCAATGCCAAATAGCACGCTCGCGTCAACTAATTAGCAGTTTTTTTTACGCGTCTGCAGCCTTAATTTTTCATCTGTCCTTTACAAAATCCGTTCTACCCTCCATATTCTATAATTTAACTATGTCGGACTCTCCATTTCTCCAGGCTTCCACAAATCCTGCTGCCCACGCCCAACTTGGAGCCAACACTGACTCGGATCCAACACTCTACGACACACCTGATGGACACGCGCTCGTTCGCGGACTGCTCAAGGCTCTCCCATATGATCCTCATGATTATATAATATCAGGGATATGCCCCATTCTAGATGGAAGGGACTTGCTGGCAACGTTGGTGACAGGTGGAGGCAAAACAGGATACTTTGTGATGCTGATGATCGTGATATCTGCGATCGCGAAGGATCCAAGCTGTGCGGGCTCCCGTAAAACATTCCCCAAAGACCCTGCAATGGTTATTATATGCCCCACCAAAGCTCTCCAAGAAACTATGGCAAGTTTTTATAAATTGTTGATCCTTAAAATCATATAAAAACACAATATCAGTCAGCAAGCATTATTGAGCTTGGACTTTCCACTCTTGTAATAAACGGAGATACTTATCTCTCTGCCCTTCAAGTACAAAGAGATCTCTGGAAAGAAGCATGTCAGAAGTTCACGATGATTCTCCTATCACCTGAAGAGCTCTCCAGTGCAGGATTTTCTTCACTTCTTGACAACCCTGAGTTCTCTGCTCATCTTTGTGGTCTAGGAATGGATGAAGCTCACCTGATTTACTGGTGGGGACGAAGCTTTCGCCCCATGTTTCAGCAAATTGGCCTTGTCCGAGCAAGAATGCCGCTCAGAAATGGCCATCGTATACCTGTTGTTGCCGTGACAGCAACACTCAGAGTAGGGGAACCTATGGCGTGTATTTGCAAGGTTCTGGGCCTCATTCCTGGAAAGTATCATTTTCTACGACGTTCCAATGTCCGCAATGATATCCAGCTCATTTTCCGAGAGCTTCAATCTGGTTTGGGAGGATATAATTTTCCCGAGCTTGATTGGCTCCTCGGGGAACATGACAACACCATTGTTTTTTGCAAAACAATTTCCTTGGGTTTTAAAGTTGCCTGTTATCTCTGGGCAAAAGCCAGCCATCTCCCCGATCGATCAAAACACATCCGTATGTTCAACTCTTTGAACTGGCAATCATACAATTCCGATACACTCGGATTTTTGAACAACAACAACCAACAATCCTCAATAACTATTGCCACAGACACCCTCAGTGTTGGCTGGGACAGTAAATTTACTCGGAATGCAGTGATTCTTGGGGAACCAAATGACATTGACGAGTTTTTGCAAAAAATCGGACGCATTGGACGCAATCGGGCAGCTGTACCGTCTCCGCGTGCATTTCTATATTATAGTCGGGGTGCTCTCGCAAGTGCACGGGCTGTTGTGGACTCTGTGGATAAATCAGGGAGCACCAACAGACATTCAACGGACATGCAAAATGGTGATAGCACCGGAGATACTGCGAAAAAATCGAAACGGAAAGCTCCCATCAAAGATGGCTCGGAATCACTCATGGACATCACAATGGCGTGCTTACTGCTAGCCCAATGTATATCCAAAGCCATTGATGAACCTTATGACAACCCCATTGACGATATCCCTTGCATGTGCAAATCCTGCCGTGATAACCCACCTGTTCCTCGACGGCGTAGGTGTAACTGTAGTGGCCCTCAATGCAACCCCGAAAACACACCAGGATCTTCTGTGGCAAGACTTGCAAAGAATGGTTGAAGTAGTATTCCCAAACCCCCTCGTGCTCAAGCAATGTCAAGAGAATTGCGGGCCTATGGAACACGTCGCTTGGAGGAATTGCAATGGCAACTTTTTGATTCAGCAGACGAGTCAAAATACAGCTACCTCGCGCCCTCCGCATTCCTTCCACCTGCCGCAATTAAAGATATACTTGATCACTTCCACCTCATCAAGACAACATCTGATCTGGTTCCCTTTCTTCACAATATCAGCTGCCTTGACCAAGGTGCTCACCAGTCTATGATGGAATTTTTAGATGTCCTCTGGATCGAATTCGAAGCTCTCAGGAAAGCAAAAAAAAATGAGACCTGGAGCTCTGATTCAGATTCAAATACAGATGGCAGTTCAGACATTGACAACAACCACCACGACGAAACAGATGTTGGTGTTACAATTATCTCAGAACAGGAAAATACCCTTGACGTTGAGGAGAAGGAACACAGTTCGGATGGTTCGAAACAACCTTCGCTGCGATGGAAAATTAATTTTGATAAAGCAACTGTTAATGTTTCTCTCTAAAATATATTCTCTTCAGCTGCCACATCCATCGCCTCATCCCTGTCAATCCCGTCAATCCCATCATGCTCTGGTTCTTCACCACACCACATATCTAAATCATCTATAAATTCGTCAATGTTTCGGAACACTAACTCTCCCTCATCAACCTCCATGTAACCAAACGTTGCAGTATCTCCATCAGATTCGTCATCCACGTCGGAAATGTTTTCACTGTCCTCTTGAGGAGCCGCAAGTGTTGGAGAGTCTCCGTGGAGCAGACTGGAAGATGTGTTATGATTTCGAGCTCTAGTTGTCTGCAAAATCCATTGAGCAAGTTTACCCCCAGCAAGTTTTGTCACTCCTCAGGTAAAATCATCAACATCACGAGCTCCATAAATTCGTCCAGGACGACGACTGTGAAGTTCAGTTTCCCGATAAATATTGAGAAGTGTCACAACCTCAGGTTTCAGGTGAGGGGCCTTGTGCTGGCCACCATGTTTGGCAAGCCCAACTGCTTGGCGTAAATCGAGCTTTATGCGAGCAAAATGGTGTAAGTTGCGGGAAATTTTCTGCCGAATAAATTTAGCTCCATACTCGACCCCTTTTTTTTCGACGATAGCCTCGAGCAAGCGATTGAAAAACTCCTGCAGAAAATCAGCAGCCGAAAATCCGCCCTCCTTTCCAGTAAGATTAACGAGAGTGCCGCGCAAAATGACCCCACGGAGTTCAGGACTGGATTCCAACTCGAGACTGCAAACCATCTCTAAAAGATAATTGGTGTATTTCGAGTGACTGGATCCCGCGAAGGTAAAAAGCATGACCTAAAACACCAAGCGTGGCTTAATGTTTGAAAATTTGCGGTCAAACCCCATGATGTACTTTCATGACTTCCCAAACACGTCCCACATCACCTTCTGCAACGGCTTGGGACATTTCACGAGAAATCAACGCGTCGCGCATGAAACAAATTGAGTTAGCGAGGACACGATCACCCCGAAATGATTTTAGCCTCTCAGCATCCTCCTTGGCCTTCTTCGCTTTTTTCGAGGTAGATGCGGATTTCGTTTTGCTTGAGGAATGTGCAGGTGTCGAGTTCGGCAGATTGGGAACACCAACGAGACTGCTTTTATCAACTACAGGTGCTACCCATGGTGTCCCGAGAGGCACCAATCTTGACCACTCACTTGTCCCTGAGATGTCGTTCAGTGCGCGATAATGTGCCCGTGTGCAGGAGAACGTTCGGTGAAGTTTGAGTGCAGTGGCTTCCAGAATCTCAATGTCTGGGATTTTATTTGAGTCCGACAGGGATTTAAAATGCTGAAAGATATTATCGCAACCAAAATGAAGCCTGGCCGTGTTACGTGTTCATCATCAGATTGTGTAAGTTCATTTGATAATTCACGCACCTCCAACAATCGAGCATCCGCATATCGAGAACAAGGTAAAGGAATTCAGCCGAAGGAAAGTAGTCAACTTTTTTCAGGTTCGACGGTGCAGTTCTACCAAGCTGCCCGGCACTGTGACCCAGAGACGAGGGGTCAATGCTAAGAAGTGAATCCCAGTGGGCCTCGTAAGTTCGACTGAGATCTGTCCATTCTGCATGCCAATCCGCTAGAATCGGCTGCAGCAGCCGGAAACTCTCCAAGTCGTCATCATGCATCTGAAGATAAACTTGAAGCTGTATCATCTTCTCGTAAGTCAACCCATCCCCTCCAACAAGAAGCAGCCGACGAAGGTAATCCCCATGCTTCTGACCTATCTGTGAAAAGAAATCAATCAACGCGTCCTTCAAGTCTGTGGTGACCGTCTCGTTTTTTCCACTTGATGCAAGGGGGTGGACTTTAGATGCTCGGGCAGGAAGCCTAAGCCGTGAAGCACGTGTCCGGAAAAGCATAGATACATGAGTCTTCCATTTCGCTAGCTCGGGAATGTAATTAGTGAGTGCCCGGAGCCAATGTAGGGAGGAAACGACGTCGAGATGTGGCTGATCTATCATGTCGATGAGCTGATTGACCGTGAGTTTTGCGCGCTTGTTTTCCGCAAGGCGTTTAAGCTTGTCATCGAGATCGAAGGCTTTGGGATCCATGTCCTCAAGCTCAATGTAAGTTGCTGCAATGCCGATGTTCATTTTATTTTCGCGTCCAATGCGAGGATCGCGTTGACGGAGATAGTTTTGCACGTTGTCAAACTGTAAGACCCCAAACTTTGTAGGGTCACGACCGTGCGAGGTGGTTATTGCAGCTTCCTGATCTGAAAGCCCTTGAAGAGTATTGGATATGGTGCTATACGCTGGCATTTCTCCAATCCGGCTGCCGTAAGCAAAGAGGTTGACTGGTGCAGAGGACGCGAAGTAGAGGAGACCACGCGCGAGAGGCAACAATCGAGCCTCATTGTTACGTGCGAAGTTCAGTGTCGAGATAGCGTGTGTACATACCTGTCAATCTGGTTCTCAGAATTCACGAAGAGTTTTCACAATACAAAGGGAGCTTACAACACTTGTCGGACGACGCGTTCCGACAGTCTTATCTGCACCGTGCTGACCTCGAGACTCTGGCATTGCAATATTCATCATATAATTCCATGTCAATGGCTGGTGCTTCTGTATTACATCGGCTACCTGTGACACCGTAGCAGAGCCTACATCTGCCCATTGGACCGTATCCGACCCTCTCTTCCGTTTGGAGGAAGCATGCAGTCCACTCCCCACCTTCACCGCTTCCTTGGCCTCCCTAACCAACTTCTTCTCGATAAGCTGTGCGGCAAACGAGGTCAACGCAGCCCGAACAGGTTTGATCTCGGTATAAGGTGTGTCGATGGAGTACATCAGGTCCAGGTCGGGCGAACCTTCTGAAATGCGACCGTCCAGGCTCCAAAACCACGCTTCGAGAATGGTGGCTGGAGTGTGCTTTGATGTTCCCTGGAGAAAGTGTTGCGAGTACTTAGAATGTTGGATCGTGCAGTGTATGTTGACTCCGTGCTCGTCTTTTGTCCGAAAGGTGTAATAGAGGAACTCTCCAAGAGTCCAGTGCGCAGCATCCAACACGTTGAATAGACTGTTAAGTTTGTCGTGTTTCGTTTGGCGGGGCGTGTATTGCCGTAGCGTGGTTGGTGTTGCACCTGGAGTGGAACTCAAAGCTGTACTTGGATGCTTTTTCGATGGACCCGATGATGCGGATGGCAAGTTTTCGTCTTGATCTTCTCGAGATCATTTCTTGGTTGTGCGGCGTCGAGAATTGCATGGTGTCAATGGAGTTTCGAGGATAGATTGGAGTATGGATGGCGTGGCGTGATTGGATGGTGTTGGAGTAGCTGGCGCGGTCGATCCAAGCCTGAATGTGGTGAACATGAGCGCGTTCGTGGTGATAAGCAAGACTGAAGTCAGGTGGGCACGCGGTGGCTGTGATATATCGCCTTATAAGGCAATAGTCGACAACCTTGAATTTGAATGTGGGTACCACGGTTTGATGGGCGCGCGTGAAATCAGACCATATATCACTGTCGACCTCCCTTCCCCTTAAAAGAGACAAACGTGATATTTATAGGGCTGACTACGGGAGACTACATTCTTGCCGACTATAGCGCCTTGAAAGGGAAAGCCCCGGCTCAACAAGTTGGGATAAAGTGTGCCAAGATCCTCTCAAAAACGTCAGGGTGGCTGAGGAAAATAACCAATTCCCTGGGGATCTATAATCCTGCTTCAACATCACCATTTGTTGTGCTGATTTCCACCTTATAGGTTTGTCAAGGTCTCGTTGCCATCTTTATATCCACACAATGGTATCTGTCCAACACGGTGAGTTGAAGATTCTGGCATCCAGAACGACAAACTATAACTTTCCCTGTCCAACGTCCCTTCCAACACTTCTGCGTTGCTTCTGCGTCTCCTTCTCCTGTCCGCATCGTCTCTGCACAGTCGGGTAGCGCAAACCGTGGACAGCCTACTCTTATTGAGGCTGAACATTGATTTCTAGCATTCTAGAAGGCGTTGTCTACTCACAAAGGTAAGTTAGTTATTCTCGTTCACGACAACGAGCTCTTTCTCCCCGCTTAGCCGACATCTTTCCCCTACTTCCCGAAGTTCCTGTACCGCCATTGCCAGCTCCATCCGCCAACTTGCCATGTCATCGACGTTGCATCCAGCCACGTCATTTTCTCGTGAGCGTGATCGTCGAGGATGCCGTTATCCGGACTCAAGTGCACGCGACTTGTTGCCGAAGCTAATCGTTGATTTCGTGGGATTGACAACTAGAGACCCCCCTTGTAGATATGTGGTCATTATCAATAACGAAAATGAAGGCTTACTGGTTACCTGCTGTACGAGGCCATTATTATCGTCCATAAGAATGAAAGCAAACCGTCGTCCTTGCCAACCGCCATGTTCGTGAGGTTGCACAACATTGGATTTGAGATGAAGTCCTAGGGAAAGGTCAGCGATGAAAGTTAACTGGCGTGTGTGCGTGCTTACTGTCATTGGCTCCTCTGTAGCTTCTGAACGAGCTTTTTCGAGTGTGTACTTAATAATCGCATGGAGCCGCTTCTTTTTGGCTGGGTGCAAATTTTCAAGCACACTTACAAAATGCACCTTCTCGACGCTTCAATTGAGGCTGATGCTCAGCCAGAACGTAGATATATTAGTAGTTGCTAGAGTACATAATCCCCCTTATGGAGACAAATTACCATTTTTTTCTGCCAGTTCGGCAGTTCGAACTGAGAACTGAACGGAACTGAACAGGAAAGAACGGTTCTTACCAGTTCAGTCCTGTTCGGTCCTCAGTTCTGCTCAGAGGTTGTCAGTCCAGTTCTCGGTTCTCGAAAAGTGCCAAAGAACCGAACTGAACTGAACTTTGGCAACACTAACTCCACCGGCAGGTTGCCAGACATGAGCAATCCCCTTTGTACTTCCTTTTTCCCACTAACATGGTGATTAGGGGACGATACTCTTGACCATCATCGATGACGACGGCGAGAGGGTTACCTTACCGTACGTCCTTTTTACTCTATCCAAACCCCCATTTCACCTATTATGAAAGGGCATGTGGCGTAACACGGGTCTCTTAATACGTCATACCATTACCACCTGTATCTTTTTACTTAAAAAAAAAATTCATGTCGAGCCTTGTTTGAAAGCCCGGATGAGCAGAACTGATCTGAAAGGCTGGGTGCAACCAGACAGGAAAGACCACGATCCTATCCTAATGGCAGTTATGACCCTGACATGTTGACAGACGTCCCTGTTCTACGTAATAAATAAATCCATGCCCGAGCCTCATGTTTTGCCAGTTAAAAGTGTCAAAAATCCTTTTTTTTGTTCATGACTGCCCCCGATTTCTTTCAATATACAAGGGATCTAGCTCGATACTTCAGAGGCCGGTTGCGGTCTTTACATAGCCCAAGCGTTCCTCGTCCTGCTCCACCACCATGGTTGAAGCCAGAGGCCCAAGCATCTGTTGAAAGGGTAATTAACATGCTTGAAGAAGCATTCAAATCTTCATGTATGTCTCACTTCTAGCCGGCCGATCTTCACTAAGTTTTGGACAGATACGACTACTTGGGACGTCCGGGACTATGCTGCGGACGTGTCACTGAGACAGAGTGGAAGCAATGAGGAGTTGGAGAAGAAACTCTTGGCACGATTCCCACCGATCTACGAAACAGCTGGGTCCGATATCCCCTACCTCGATCAACTGTGCCATATAACCGACTGGCAGGGTCACATTTTACTTTGGTACTTTCCTGAAATGTTCTCAGAACAGCTTCGGGTAATTACTTTCACTTCATTACACCCTTAGACTTTCCTCACTTTACTAGACATTTATTTGGGATCACACAGGTTCTTTGAGCCCCAAAAAGAGAAGTAATGGGACTTGGCGGGATCACCACCCTGAGAATGAAGGGGTCACTGGGGTTGTAAATTTATCACCCAGCTGGTTTTCTCAAGGACATGAAGGTCCCGAGGATCCACTGCGCGCATCAGCCGATATTCAGGAACCTGCCAATTCAACCTACCTCCAGAATGTCCTATTGGCCAATGCAATTGTTGGCGCAATCTATGCCATCATACAACCTGATCTTTTTGAGTCCGGTTTAGCCACCTTTGAGAAGCTTGCCAATCATGCTGAGGCATTGGATGATCCTATCAATATTGCTCTTCGTGTTTGGGCCACTCCCTTCACCGGTCTTTCAGTCATCCTGAACCGAGAGACGATTGATCACCAAGATCTAAAGGGGTATAGGGAGTCTTTTGACTTGTTGCTCACCATCGGAAACTACACAGGAGGCTGGTGTCACTTAGCCGGGCTCGGGTTTAGCCTTGTTTATGACCCTGGGACGGTTGTTGCCTTGGCCGGCAATGTTTTACAACATGGTGTTTGTCCTGTGCTGGGTGACCGGGCCTGTTTAGCTCACTTTTGGCACAAAAAGGTTGGGGAAAGGCTTGGGGTGAAGAGGCCTCAGTGGTTGACCATGGCAGACTTGATATATAATTTGTCTGGTAACTAATAAATAATGAATTACAAATCCGACCCAAACTTGCTCGGCCTCAGCACCAATATGTTCAAGGAGACGGGGGGCTTGACAAACCCGATCCCGGGCTTTCTCCACCTGGGTTTCTATGTGCTGAAAACCGGTTCTTGTGATACCTCATTAGGTCAATAAGAGCAGACTGCTGTACAATTTCCTCCCAAACCGAAATCTCATTGGTGACCCACTCTTCCTCGGCCTCAGCACGCTTGATACGTTCAAGGAGACGATCCCGAGCATTCTCCAACTGGGTCTTGATGTGCTGAACTTTGGCCGGTGTCAGCATGGAGGTGTCAGTGTCCGGGTACTTGATTGGCAAACCACCCTTTGCCATCCATCTGAACCAATTGTATGACCTTTTCAGAAGTTGGTCGACGCCCCCTGGTGGAAAGGTGATGCGAGTATTCCACCATGCAAACTCGTATGCAGGCCGGATACGGTCATCCATGAAGGCTTCCTGAGGGTGCAGTGGGTTACCCTGGAGACAGGACTTTAAAAAGGGAGGGACGATAAACTGGCAGGAAGGTGAGCTCAAAGAGAAAAAATCTGGGGCAAAGTTTTACTTTATGCCCATAGGCGCATGCCATGCTGAGAGTCGCTATAATGAAACCCTAACCAAAGGAATGAGTTTAGCCGGGCGTGGCAAAATAAAGCTCACCTGTTTGGCCAACATGTACTCCAACCAACAATTCTCGAACTCGGGGTCAATGGGGTTTTCGAGCTTCAATGTCAAAATGGCTCTGAATCGAGAGGACCAGTAGCAAAGTACCTCCTGGAACTCTTGCTTGTCCTTCCAGAGGAGATTAGCCACTACAGAAGAATTTCTGGTAAAAGCTGGAGGCCGTATCTTCAGCACCTCGTCAACCCATTGCTCTGCTCAGCAGGGGTCAAATGACAGGTGTTCTTTTGCATACATGGTGGACAATGAGAAAGAATAGTTTGATTCAACTAGGATTAGGTAATGCAATGGCCTCGCACATGACCCCAGGATTTATAAGTTCTTCGGTGGCCTGGAAGGCCAGTTCTTTCCACATACTGATTTGCCCCTTGGCAAAGCATACATGTCCCGGCTTGTCTGGCACCAAGTCCCTCAGCCCAGCCCACTCCCTTGCTTTGTTGATGAAATAGAGGCGGGTCCAGTTCATTTCGTTTGGGATCAAGGTATGCTCTTCTGACCACCGGTCATATCGAGCTTTTGCTCTGAGCCAATTCACCCGATATACTTTAATTTGTCTGGTTTCAATTCATGTAGAGTAATAAAAGTGACTGGATCTGACCTTGTTCCATGTATGTTGAACCCGACGAATCATCAGCCACAGCCATATTCCAGAACCATGGCAGAGCAATATTTCTTTTAGTGTTTGAAAGTCCGGTCCGGTCCGGTCTTTTGGTGCCTAGTGCCTTAGACCGTAACCGTAACCGGTCCTTCCAATTCCAGAAACCTCAAAAAACCGGACCGAACCGCAACAGACCGGTCTTTTGCGGTCTTTTGCGGTTACAAGACCAGTTTTGACCGGTTCCAGTCTTAACCGGTTTGTGGTGTACTTTACACTCCCCCACACACTCCGGTCAGACTCCAGATGGACTCCATTCAGTCCAGGTGGAGTCTACCTCAAATAGAACCAAATGTATATTTTTTGGATCATCAAGCTGGAGTCCAGATGGAGTCTGCATAGACTCTGTCTGGACTCTCTCAAGGAATGTTGTGGAATTTTAACAAGTCAGACCTCCTCCTACCTCAAAATTCCATACAAAATTCATAGGTGAACAGATATTGTATTGATAACTGTATATATAACTATATAGAAACAAAATTGAAGTATATTTAGTAACTAAATAAGTTAATTTTAATATATTCTATGTTACAGAGAGGGGAAGGAGTGGGGGGGAGGGAGTGGTGATCAGGGAGGGAGGGGGGAGGGAAAGGGGAAGAAGAATGGAGGGGGGAGGGAAAGGGAGAAGGGAGAGAGGAATGGAGGGGGGAGGGAAAGGGAGAAGGGAAAGAGGGAGGGGTTGAGAGGAATGGAGGGGGACAGAGGAATGGAGGGGGACAGAGGAATGGAGGGGAAGGGAAAGGGAAAAGGGAGGATGGAATGGAGGGAGAGTGGAAGGGAGAGAGAGGGGGGAGAGAGAGGAGTGGAGGGGGGAGAGAGGAATGGAAGGGGGAGGGAGTGGTGAGCAGTATGGGAGGGGCTGGTGAGTAATGAAGGGGGCAAGGAGTGGTGGTGCTTGGCCCTCGTCGCGTCCTGCGTGGGCATTGTGTTGTCGTCCCAGGGCGGCCGTTCGTCGTCGTCGTCGCGTGTCGTTGTTGTCGCGTGTCGTTGTTGTCGCGTGACGTGGTCGTTGTCGCGTGACGTGGTCGTTGTCGCGTGTCGTTGTCGTCGCTGTTGTCGTCGCGTGTCGTAGTCGTCGTCGTTGTCGTCGCGTGTCGTCGTTGTCGCGTGTCGTCGCTGTCGTCGTTGTCGTCGCGTGTCGTCGTTGTCGTCGTGTGTCGTCCTTGTCGTCGCGTGTCGTCGTTGGTGCGTGTCGTCGTCGTCGCCGCGTGTCGTCGTCGTCGCCGCGTGTCGTCGTCCTCGCGCGTCGTCGTCCTCGCGTGTCGTTGACACGTCATCGTGTCGTGGGTGGTGCTGGGTCGCCGTTGCCATCCTGTCGTCGGCCTTGGTGGTGGTGGTGGGCCGTTGTTGGCATTGGTGGGGTGTGTTGTTGTTGCGTGGGGTTGCCGTTGTCGTGAGGTCGGTTTGAGTGATCAAGTGTTCAATTCCCGGTCATGGCATTCTTTTTTCTTTCTCTAATAATAACAATAATAAACAAACAGAAATTGTAAACTCCTGCTGGACTCCATCTGGAGTCTGGCTGGTTGACTGTGTTATGAGGTGGAGTCCATGCAGTCCAGATGGTGGACCCGGAGTCCAGCTGGAGTCCTATGGAAAGCAAGACTGATCTGCTCGGAAT